CAATTCTACCATCGTTCTCATGTGCCTCAGCGAACATCGGTTCATTAGAAAATCTCCAGCTAGCAGATCAGCAGTATCTCAAGCCCGGACCAATCGATATCATCATAGGGGCTGACAACTAGGGGCGAATCATCAGAGATGAAGTTATCAAGTCCAAGCAGTCAAAAGTCGTCGGCTAACGCACAGTCTTTGGTTGGATTCTATCAGGTCCAATCAACTGCACCAGTTTTTCAGCGAGGATCTCCCTATCAGCTGTAAGGACCTCCTCAAACGAACAACTTCTAGAACTTCTCCAGAAATTTTGGGTCCAGGAAGAGTTACCAGTTCAGCAGTCAGAAAATTCAGAGTTATCACCAGACGAGCTGGAGTGTGAGAAACACTTCAGGTCTACACACAGCAGAGATTCAACGGGACGTTACATCGTGAGGCTCCCATTGAAAACATCTTCAGCAGCTCTCGGGGAGTCGAAATTCAAGGCTTCACGTCAGCTGAGATCTACAATCAGCAAACTCACCAATAATCAGGCATATGCCCAGCTGTACAAGGAGTTCATCAACGAGTACGAAACTTTGGGTCATATGCAAAGAGCACCAGAGACAGCAGAACCCGTTCCAGTTTATTATCTTCCACACCACGGGGTTCTGAGAGCAGATGCAATCACCACAAGTTTGAGAGTCGTCTTCAACGGCTCCAGCCCCACTTCATCAGGAACGTCAATCAACGACATTCTACATCCAGGTGGAAAACTTCAGACCAACGCCATGGACGTTCTAACATGGATGAGAAAGCACAGGCTCGTGTTTGGCACTGACATAGTCAAGATATTCAGGCAAATACGAGTTCATCAGGACGATTGGGACCTGCAGAGAATTTTGTGGGTTGACGACAACAAACAGCAAATCTCCTACCAGCTCACCACCGTCACCTACGGGCTCAATTGCTCCCCATGGCTGTCTCTGAGAGTTCTCCAGCAGTTAGCAGAGGACGAGGGTCCACGATTTCCAGCAGCCGTCGAGACAATCACCAGAGGTCGTTACGTAGACGACATCTACGGCGGAGCAGACTCACCAGCAGAACTCAAGGAGATAGTATGGCAGTTACAAGGACTTTGCCAGGCAGGAGGCTTCCCTCTCCAGAAATGGAGCAGTAATTGCCCTCAGCTCTTGCATGAGCTCGGCCTATCAACAGAGGAAGAAGTCATTCAGTTTGAAGAGTCCGTCACCAAGGTACTGGGTCTGTGTTGGCATCAGTCGTCCGACACATTCCAGTACAAATCCAGAGACTTCAAAACAGAGACGATCACCAAGAGAATTGTCTCTTCAGAGATAGCCCAGATCTTCGATCCTTTGGGATTTATCGCTCCAGTCGTCGTCCAGGGGAAAATTCTCCTTCAGGATCTCTGGAAACTCAAATGCAGTTGGGATGACCCCCTCCCTCAAGAGTACATTCACCAGTGGGAGTCATTTCGCCAGGAACTCACCGAACTAGATAAAGTTGCAGTACCCAGATCGCTAAGACTCTCACCTCAGACAAACGACATCCAATTACACGGATTCGCAGATACCTCAACAGTAGCTATGAGTGCTGTGGTCTACATTCGCACTCAGAATCTCAACGAGCCAGCCTCCACAGTTTTGGTCTGTGCTAAGACCAAGGTAGTACCGATCAAGCGCATGACTATTCCACGTCTGGAACTTACTGCAGCTCTCCTGTTAACTCAACTCGTAACATCAACGCAGCAGATGCTCCAGCTAGACCAGGTAGAAACTCACCTTTGGTCAGACTCAGCAGTAGCTCTCGCGTGGATCAGGAGTCCGGCCTCGAGATGGAAAGACTTCGTCCACAACAGAGTGGTAAAAATCCAGGAAACTCTCCCGAATGCCACTTGGAGACACGTCAGTGGGAAGGAGAATCCAGCCGACTGCGCCTCCAGGGGCATAACACCAAGTCAGCTAGCAGATCATCACCTCTGGTGGACAGGACCTGATTGGATAAATCAGGACCCTGAAGACTGGCCACGATCAACTATCGATGCTCCACCAATGGACATCCCAGAAGTAGCCAAAGAAGCGAAACCAACAAAATCTCACCCAGTTGTACAGAGAATCACCGAGATTGCCGAGCTCCTCTACAGATACAGCACGATGGCAAAGCTGTTAGCAGTAACAGCGACCATCAACAGGGCCATCGACAGATTCAGGAGATAGCCAATGCCCCCGGGATCTATCTTGACGACCAGAGAACTCAACGATGCGAGATTATTTTGGGTAAAAATAACACAACACCAGTACTTTGTTTCAGAACTCAGGGTACTTCTCAGAAATCAGCAGCTACCTAGAAATCACCAGTTAGCGAAATTCACCCCAACTCTGGACGAGGAGGGCATCATGAGACTTGGGAGAAGCCTCAAGAACTCAGCACTCCATCCGGAACAGATCTACCCAATAATCTTGCCACGTCAGTCCAAATTCACCACACTCATCATCGCAGAAGCTCACCAGAAGACCCTCCACGGAGGGACACAGCTCACCTTGGCCTACACTCAGCAACGCTATTGGATACTCGGTGGCAGGGGCACAGTTAGAGCCTACATCCTACGCTGTGCTATCTGCGCCAGACACCGAGCTAGACAGGCTCAGCAACAGATGGGTCAATTGCCCGCAACCAGAGTCTCACCAGCAAGAGCATTTCTCCACACGGGGATGGACTATGCAGGTCCTTTCGCCATCCTCAAGTGGAGACCCACGAATGCTCAACCGGGATCAGTGCACATCGCAGTGTTCGTGTGCTTCACCACGTCAGCAGTTCACCTAGAGCTCGTCAACAGGCAAACCACAGAAGCCTTCCTCGGAGCTTACAGGAGATTCACCGGAAGACGAGGTATTCCAGCAGTCATGTACAGTGACAACGCCACCACCTTCGTCGGAGCAGCAGATCAACTCGAAAGGCTCAATCACCAAGCATCTAAAAAAAATCAACGTGTTCAGGCTGCTCTCGCCACCAATTGGACTCAGTGGAGCTTCTCACCACCTAGAGCACCCCATTTTGGTGGCAAATGGGAAGCAGCAGTAAAATCAACGAAGCATCACCTCAAGAGAGTCCTGGGAACGACAACGCTAACATTTGAGGAACTCAACACAGTCTTAGTTCAGATTGAAGCCTGCCTAAACTCCAGGCCAATCTGTCCGATGTCAGACGACCCAGAAGATCTCCAGGTTCTCACCCCAGGACACTTCTTAATCGGCGAGCCTCTACAGATAGTATCAGAGTCATCCTACCTCGACGAGAATCCCCTCAAGATGAGGCGATGGAACCTCGTGACTCGGATAGTTCAGCAGTTCTGGTCCAGGTGGTCCAAAGAGTGTCTCCAACGATACCAGGCTATCTACAAGTGGAAGACACGTCAGCAGAACATCGAGGTTGGTAACATGGTGCTGATGGTCGACGATAACCTTCCACCAGCCCAGTGGCCAATCGCCAGAGTCATCGCGACTAGACCAGGAGCAGATGGGCTCACCAGAGTAGCCACAGTCAGAACGAGCAAAGCAGAAGTCGGCAGACATCAAGATGGGTCGCCTAATCTCCAGAACATCACAGCAGCCCACTCGGCGTTTGACAGACCAATCACCAAGTTCTGTCTGCTTCCTACAGATCCACCTACACCAGAACAACCTCCAGAAGAAGATCACCCAGATGATGAAGACGATCAACAGCAAGGGGACATCCAGGAACTGCAGGACTGAGAGTTAAGTATCATCTTCCNATTCTTCAGTTCTTCAATTTCTGAAATTAATACTGTTCATCATTAATTTCAGAATCCCATTCCCACGAATAAACCAGGAGTCGAGCCGAAACGACCTCCACGACCAGTTAACATAAGCCCCCTAGTGAAGCTCTCCCCAACAGTAGCCAACACAATCCAAGTGACCTGGTCCGCTGATTACGGCAGACGTTATGCAGTAGCAATCTACATGGTTAAAAAATTAACGAGGTTGTATCTTCTTACCGAAGTTGTATTTAACCCCTCAAGAACTGTGATCAAAGTTGCGGGGTTCTCAACCTAGGGGGTCGTGTGAAAAAAAATTGTCCAAGAGAGAGCATCTTCTGCTCTCTCTTTGAAAACTGNTTATGTTTTTTAATTTGGCAAGTGGTACGTCTCTCACCCTGTTTTTCTCCCCTTAGCAAGCATCAGCAGAAACCAGATCCAGTAATTCAACAACCTGATATTGAATGCCCCCGGGGTGTTTGAAACACAGTTAAAATTCAGTACATCAACGGTTGACCACAGATCGGCCACTTACGAAAATCTTCGGGAAACCTCGGGTCAACGGTCAGGCCTAGTCAATCACCGAATNTTTACAGTGTCGTTTGATCAGTTTTACAACAAGTGAGTTCATTCAAGTAAGCAAAAAGTGACTGGTTATCGAGTCAATTCCTTTGTCGGAGAAGAAGACATTTGTTTACAGTGCACCGTGGACGCTGAGACACTGGTAAGTCGTTCCATTATATTCTTTGTATACATTCCATATATTTCCTCATATTAGTATTGTGGTCCGCTCACCTCGTCGTATTTTTCACANGGGTGTTTGAAACACAGTTAAAATTCAGTACATCAACGGTTGACCACAGATCGGCCACTTACGAAAATCTTCGGGAAACCTCGGGTCAACGGTCAGGCCTAGTCAATCACCGAATCTCAGNAACAAGTGAGTTCATTCAAGTAAGCAAAAAGTGACTGGTTATCGAGTCAATTCCTTTGTCGGAGAAGAAGACATTTGTTTACAGTGCACCGTGGACGCTGAGACACTGGTAAGTCGTTCCATTATATTCTTTGTATACATTCCATATATTTCCTCATATTAGTATTGTGGTCCGCTCACCTCGTCGTATTTTTCACAAAACTTGTAAAATCTTCATGTGACTCTGCATCAAAGACTCAATGTCACGGATTTTTAATGGATATTTTTGCAATTTGTCTNCAATTCACCCTAAATTCAGTTTTCCCTCCAAACACATGACCTTTTTGGTTGAGAATCAAATTATTCACAAAAAAGATCTTACGAAAATATTTCGTAAATTTACTCGTTACCGAGATAATCCAAAATTTATTGAGCTGTTGGAATCAATTTGAGGAGTGAATTCGAAGTCNTCGATTCCACTGAATAAATCAGTATATTTTTTATAGACTCAGTGCGTTCGTTTTTCACCGGCATTTCCACTACCCCTTTCCCAATTCACCCTAAATTCAGTTTTCCCTCCAAACACATGACCTTTTTGGTTGAGAATCAAATTATTCACAAAAAAGATCTTACGAAAATATTTCGTAAATTTACTCGTTACCGAGATAATCCAAAATTTATTATTTATTATTGGAATCAATTTGAGGAGTGAATTCGAAGTCTTCAGAAAATGGACTTTGNATTCGGTGAAGTCTGTTCTCTCCTCTTCCACATCTGTATTGTTATCCATGGTTTTTGAATTTGAGGAATTCACGACCATTCCAGATAGTTTAGGAGAAGATAGTAGGTGACCTTTTTCTCTTTTGCTTGCGAAAGAACACTTTGTGAATACGAAATTTCATTTGTCTTCATTTTTCTATACCTGTAAATTATCTAAAATGCCATAAAACGTGGAGATATGAGGTTTTTACAAAATGTTGGTTGGATGGGTCCGCGACAGAATCACCAATGGACCAATCCCCGGTGAACAGAANGAGGCACGAATTTGTCCTTCTGTTTATCCTCAAATTCCTGTAGTTTTTTACTCACTTTTGTAATGAGATTCACAACGTTTCGTTCAGTGGTATTTCTAGAATCCTCGCAATCCTCCGACGAGCTTGACGCAAACGGAATGTAAACGTCGCTTCGCNTTTTTGCTTGCGAAAGAACACTTTGTGAATACGAAATTTCATTTGTCTTCATTTTTCTATACCTGTAAATTATCTAAAATGCCATAAAACGTGGAGATATGAGGTTTTTACAAAATGTTGGTTGGATGGGTCCGCGACAGAATCACCAATGGACCAATCCCCGGTGAACAGAATCCCCGAAATGACGGGCTCGCTGCTGATTTCCCAGGAACGAAATAAGCAAGGTTTGGGCCCCGTAGTCCATACANGATCGTCACTGATTCATGCACTCACTCATTTATTCACGTGAGGATTGTACGGAGGTGGACAAGCAACCAATAAAAAAAAACCGAATGAGACACGTGACACCAAACGCCAGTAGTGCCACCCAAATTGTCTCATTCTCAAGTAGTGACGTTCATTTCGAATATGAGTGCNTAGGGACGAAATAAGCAAGGTTTGGGCCCCGTAGTCCATACATCCAGGGGCATTCATGTGTCCATTGGAAGGTCCATTGGGTTTTATTGTTGGACTTTATATTTTCGAGGGTGTTGATAACGAATCTGATAACTGTTATTACGAAAANGATTTACTGTTCTTTCTGTCGCATTGATTTCTCAAGGAAAATATCCATACAAGGGGCTGTATTTCCACCTCCATTCCTCGTTGCGCAAATTTCAATGGTAAACAATATTGAAATAGTGATGAGTTTCCGAATCTTAAGCCTTATATTAATCAGGGAATGGTTTAAAAAAGGAGGGAAGAACGTCGCGAGAAACGTAATAAGAAGTGAAGACGCACTGAGAGAGTGGGGCGGAGCGGAGGGGGGTGCAACTGAGCGAGTCTGAACGAGAGAAGGGGANATTTCGAGGGTGTTGATAACGAATCTGATAACTGTTATTACGAAAAGAGGGGCCATCTATTTGTGTATTACAATTTAATTGCTTAAGGAACTTCCGCAGTAAGTATACTTGGTTAAAATTTCGAAATGGTATAAAGACGCAATATTTGGATCATATGTTGTTGAGCACATTCAAAAACTATTCCCAAAATCTCAAGTACCTTGTCCACCCCATTTTCGAGATATACATCGTCAAAAATGGAAAAAACACAAAAATGGAATGTTTGGCGATGCATATCTCAAAAATGGGGTGGACCAGGGACTTGAAATTTTTGGAATATCTTGTTAATGTGGTCAACAACATATGATCCAAATATTGCGCCTTTATACCATTTCGAAATTTTCACCAAGTATACTTACTGCGGAAGTACCTTAAAACGTGTTTTCGCAAAAATGGTCAAACATATGAAGAAATATTTAGAATATAAAATTTTTCGTTATGCCAAAATGAATATTTCATGTCATATGACTTTCTCTCCTAACTATTGTAGTTGAGGAGTTATCGCCGCTAGAAGAGAAACGAGCGGCACGTCAGCTGTCACGTAGGACAAGAGCGCGCCCACGAGAGAATTGTGGAAAATTGGTGTAAGATAGAGAAAAATATTTCAGATAGATAATATCAACCATGACAAAATATATCGATTCGGTTATGTAATTTTTTTTCTTTATTTCCAGTAGTTTATGAGATATTGAAGTTTTTGTATACGACGATGGGACAAATCAGTGATCCGTTGGACAATGAACCTTGAATATCTCGGTAACTATTGCTAATAGAGAAAAATGTCAAAAAAACTCAATAAATCCCTCTTAAAATAACAAACATTTTGTTCCTCAAGCTTTTTGCTCTATCTCTCTCGCCTGCGGAGAAAAGTGAAATTGAAATTAAAAATTAAAATTTCGATAGAGGAAAATGATGCAAACCTTTGGATAGAGGATTTGTTTGAAAATATTCCCAGAAAGTTTGGGAGTGTGCACGGACCACTTGTGCTCCATGGAGCTTGGGTAAAGTACTTCAGACGCATAGTTCAACTCGCGCTGCGAATAATTCACGAACGAGTAGCGATAGAAAAAAAAGCTTCAAAAACAAAATGTTTGTTATTTTGAGAGGCATCTATTGAGTTTTTTGACATTTCTCTCTATTGATAACAGTTAACGAGATATTTAAGGTTGATTGTCCAACGGTTCACTGATTTGTCTCATCGCCGTATACAAGAACGCCAATATCTCATAAACTACAAGAAATAGAGAAAAAAGTTACATAACCGTATCGATGTATTTTGTCATGGTGGATATTTTCTATTCTAAACTTCTTTGTCTATCTTCCACTAATTTTCCACAATTCTCTCGTGGGCGCGCTTCTGCCGTACCTGACAGCTGACGCGCCGCTCGTATCTCTTCTAGCCGTGAAACAACAGTTAGGAGAAAAAGTCATATGACATGAAATATTCATTTTGGCATAAGGAAAATGTTATATTTGAAACATTTTTTTATATCTCTAACTGTTTTTGCAAAAACACGTTTTCAGCAATTAAATTGTAATAAACAAATAGATGGCCCCTGTTTTCGTAAAAACAGTTTATCAGATTCGTGATCAACACCCTCGAAAAAAAAGTTCAACAATAAAACCCAATGGACCTTTCAATAGATACAGGAATGCTCCTGGTGTAGACTAGCGCACGCTTTGAAAAACAAGTTGGCCGCTGTACCATGTGACTTGTTGCATGTGACTGGTTGCATGCGGATGGTTGGATGCGTTCGATAAAGGTTCCAATTGGTTAATTTTTCCTTCTGTTTCTACCAATGTCAGCTTCCGAATGGGATTTATAAAAATTCAATGTTTATTTTTATCTTCAAATTATTGTATACTAGGGACTAGTGGACCGATCAAGCTGAAATTTTTCACGGAAGTCTAACTTTACATTTCTAACTCATGGTCAAAGTTCCAAGTGCTTTCTTCAACCTTTTGGCGTATTAGAGTACCCACAAGCAAATTT